GAGGTGAACAATCTCTGACCTAGTATTCGTATTTCTTTTACCAATTGCCTGTAATAAAATTGAACATTTTGTCACCACTTTGAGAAACACTGCCAAACACCTTAAAACACATGTCACATGCCAGCAGCCCCCCTCGTTTCCCTCCTCCGGGAGTTTCTACATCTGGAATCATAATCACAGATAAAAACCTTGACAAAATTGCATCTGAGTACATTCCTCTCCACAGCCTTTACTTTCTCATAACATTTAATACAATATTAATACCTGCTACCGAAAGGCAGGAGGGAGGAAAAGGGCTGCCAACCTCCGCCGTTTCCTGATGCATCATGTTCAAACCTGAAATTCACACTTCGTGTTTCATTTTAAGTTCAGTGCATTTAACAGGGCCCTAGAGAGAGAGCCCTGGTTAGTTCCCCAACCTGCTCAGCTGACGCCCAGGGAGGCGGTTTCAGAATTGTTCAGATCGCTGCAGGGAGAAGAGGAGGAACTAGGCTCTTTTCTGCCAGCACTGGGCCAAGCCACTTCTTTATTCTAGTGTCACATACACGTTTGTTTGTTTTTGAAACAACGAAAGCCCCACTGCTTTTGATTATCGATAGTGGTGATCAACAGATTTTTTTTATTGGTACAGTGTGACCAAAGCAATGATCTGATTTCATAAAGAAAGCAAGCTATGCTCTATGCTCGAGCAGATTTTCTGCTGCCTGCCAGCCTCTCACATCAATATAAAACAATCCCCCTTTACTCAAAGAGGTCCACAGACCTGTGGAAAGGGCTGGGGGAAGAGCCCCATGGTAGAGCTCTTTTCTGCGATCCCTGTTATTCACCCTTACCTCAGCTCTTCTTAGAGATGTCCACGTCCTTGAATTCCTGTGCATGGCCAGGAGTCATCCTCTCTGGCTCTACAAGCTGAATACTGAGGTGTGGGGTGGGGAATATAGGGATCTTGAGGGTCTCTTAGGGACCCAAGAGGGATACCAGGGGATGGACTTTCAGATGTTGGTGGCTTTGTTCAGGGGATGCTGTTCTCTCAACCAGGATTAGGGTCAAAACAGACCAGGTTTGCTCCCTCCCTTTTAAAAATGTAAACCTCCAGATTTCTGGAATGAGTAACTACCATTCCCAACAGAGGAATCACACACACACACACAAATAAACACACAAGCACACATGCACAAACAGACACACAGATTTCTCTGAGCAAGATTCACTTTGGTAAGCAAGGAATGTAATTTACTGAGTGGTACAAGCAAGCTCCAAGCACAGGAGACACTAACACTTTTACTCAGGGAATAGAGACTGACCACTGGCTCTGACAATGGCTTTACGAGAAACAGCCCCGTTTCTTCGAGGCAGGGGGAGGAAATGCTGGATTTGCCTCTATCTTCTCAGTTATTACGCAAGGTTTTTAACTCCAAACCCTAGCAGCATCCTCAGAGTTGGAGGTCACCTACTGACATTACCCAAAGGGGGCCCCAGGCTGGGGCCAAAGGCTGGCTCTCCTGTGAGGAACCCTTCCCCGCTGGCTCCCAAATCGCCGTTTTCTCTGCCTGCCTGCCTTTTCCTCCAGGGAGACTGCCGGAAGGCTGCAGAAATCTGGGCGCCCGCTCGCTCGCTTGTCAAGAAGCAAACTGTCTTCACATTCTCCAAGAGCAACATCCCTGCCTAGGAAGAGGAAGGAAAGAGGCAAAATAAATAAAACCAGTTAATGTTGTAGTTAACTTGCAAATCAAGTAAATCTGTTGGTGCCGTATTTGAGAAATAAACCATCAGAGCGTCACAGCAAACACACACTTCTGAACGTCTTCATTTTGATTTAATGGTATATCAGCTTCAACTATCGCTTCCTCTGCTGGGTACACACGGCCTGATGCCGCGGGAGGAGGGTGCCCGTGTTTATCACCGAGTGAGATGACTAATTACACCTTGTCAATCACCGTCTATGAAGACATAAAACCAGCGCGCACAATGAAGTAGTTGCCTGCAGCGTCAATTAGTTGGCGATTCCGAGGTTATTGCGTGGCCCTGCCTTGGCCGCCTGTAATAACGGGACACAGCGCGGGGAAGAGCGCGCTGATCAATCACCCTCCTTCCGCGGCTCCCCTGCGCCCCCCCTCCCCGCACCCCTCCCCACCCCCTCACCCCGCCCCGGCCTGGCCTCACTTTCTCCCGGGCCTCCTGTACGCACTTCCTCCCTTCGCTGCTCGGCTCCGTGGCGCCGGCAAGTTTGCGCTCGACAGCTCCGCAGCCGGCAGCCGGGAGCCCCGCAGCCTTTGGGGAGCGCCGGGGCTGGTGGCCCCTTTGTTGGAGGAGGCGTGGAGGGAGCGCTTTTGTTCTGAGTTAGTCACGGTGGCCGGCTGGAGGCTGCTACCTCATTATGCGCGGGTCTGCTAGTCTGCGAGGAAGCAGATGGTGGGGAGGTAGGCAGCGGCAACCGCGGCCAGATCCCGAACTCCGCTCACCTGTCACCTCCCCCCAAAGGCCGATCCCGCCAACTTCAGCGCTCTTCCCGGGGCCCGGTGAAGGTTCTGGGTACCTGTCCCCGTGCCCGCGCTCTCCCACCCCCTACCTTTCTCTGCTGTGTGTAAATGTCACTCACGTGCCAGTCTATGTGTTTACAGCCGGTTCCGTTCCTTGTTTAGTCTCTTGAGGACGGGGGCTCAGCGATTGCGTGATATCCCAACCCTCTCCCCCCCCCACCCCCCGCAGCCACTGGGGAGATTCACAAAGTTACCGGCCTCTGAACCCGCGGGGGCAGGGGGCACAGATCCCACCCTGCCGCCCTGGGGCTGGAGATGCGCTGGAGCCTTGAGGGACCCCAGAGCACCCCCAGCCTGACGTAGAGGGCTCCGTGCAGGAAGGAATCCGGCAGCAGTTTAGGGCCTCTGTAGCGATGTGGGGGGGGGCCTGCTGGTCAGTGGTGGCTTGGGAATTGGAGTACATGTATGTGCGGGAGGAAATGAAGAGTCAGAGAGTATGTTTTCATGTTTGTTTGCTTTTTGAGAAGCCCCAGGCAAGAGTTACTGTATACCCCCCCAACTGCTACTACCGCAGCCCCCTGGGCTCTTGAAATCGGATGGTATCCAGCCAGCACCAAGGACAAACACCCCAGAGTTGTTACACCATCTCTCCCTCTCCCCTTGGATAACCTCTAGATAAGCCCTGGTGACTTCCAGATTTGATTTTTATTCTCTTTCTTTGAAAAAAAAGTGTCTCAAAGGCAATATGCACCAGTAAAACTTGCTTGTGTATTTATGTAGATGTCTCTGGGGGGGGGGAGTTGCAGAATCTGAAATACTGGGCTGTGTGAATGAACAAATGCACACCCTTCTTTGAATCGATAGTCCTTCTTACTGGGCTGGGGGTAGCTTGTACACATATACTTGTAACTTCAAGACTTTAGTTGTGGGTATGCAACAGTATCGAAGGAGAGTGCATAGGGACTTCTTGAGTACCCACGTTTACTTTGAAGGTGCTACTTTCCAGATGTGTCCTTCTGCAGGACCCTGGACACTTATTCATGGTACCACACATGTAGACTCTAGCTCTGTACTGGTGCTGGCCGTGGTTTTGCCAATAAAGCTAAATTCATGCTGGCTGTAATTTTGCCAGAAAGATGAACATGCACATTTGCATGCATGAGCAAGAAAGTATGTGTTTGGCTATAGTACATACATATATATTTATGTGTAAAAGTACAGTATGTGGAAAATATGATTTGTGCTGCCTCAGATCTGTACCCTGTAAGCTGCAGAGATCTTGGCTTTCCATGTACTGAATGCCAGCAAGCAAGTCACTTCAGATAGACCCCTTTACCCTCCTCTACACAGAATGAAAACAACCTCCAAAATGAACCCAGGAAATAGGACTCAGTAGCTGACGTGCTCATTTCTATTTTTCTCTACAATCACTTTTTTTACTTCCTAAATCCCTGCTCCATTAGACACCTGGGTATTACCCCTCCAATCCCACAAGAGACGCTAAGGTCGAGTCTCAAGTCTGGAGCTGGGGCTGGCAGCTGGGATTTAGCCAAAGGCTAGATCGTTAGCCCAAGGTGGGCTGGTGCAGCCAGCTGCCTGGGCTGGATCCTCATATCACCAGGTCGAGGTACCTCGGAGTCCGAAAGTTTTAACCAGAGAGGGAAAAGAAGCAGTGATGAAAGAATTTGGAATACCTACCATGTTGCAGGCAGTTTATGTATCTGTGATCTCTTTCATTCATCACATCTGTGCATGCAAGTGGACCTTCTTGTTTCCCTTTGAAAGACTCAGAAATGAGCTAAGGGAGAAATAGGCTGTGTCATTTGCTTAAGATTTCCTTGCGTGTAAATGAGAGAGCTAGGATTTGAGCTCTTTGCTTTTCAGAGTTCTTAAAGACATGCTTTTAAAGTACACTTTTCAGGGTGTAGCAAGAGGAGCTATCCACTCGGCCGTCGATTGGGCCTTAGTTTGCTTGGAGCGAGGAATGCTAGCTTGCTCCCGCTGGCCCTCTCCTTTCGGGCTCAGCTGGGTCCCCAGGAGGCCTGGGCGGCCGTCGGCAGCCCGCGGCGTGAAGCCTGGGCCGAAGGCCCAGCTCAGTGGGAAGTGGCCAAAGGCCCTTGCAACTGCCCCAGGCCTGCCTTCACCGGCCTCCCCAGACAGTGCCTGAGGCCAAGGGGAGACTCTTCGAGCATCCTTTGGCTGTTCCTTCTTAGGATGGAGACAGCCAGGAGAGAGGATTTAATTTTCCTTCCCGATGAAATCTCAGGAAACTGTTCCGTAGCTTAAAAACTCCAAACCCCGCGCTCTCCCTCCTCCCTCCCTCCCGCCTCCTCCTCCAGCCTCGCCCACCAGCTCCCACCATCTCTTCCCTCCTCTCCTCCTCTCGCCTCTCCCCTCCCTCTCCCGCCTTTCCGGAGCACGCGCTGCCAGGGCCTGGGGCGCCGGGTGGCCAATGGCACGGCGGCAGGACGTGATGTCAGGCGCGGCTGTAGAAAAGGCGCGGAGGCTTGCGCTGGCGCGGACTGCAGAGCCGGGGCTGGGCTCGGCGCGCGCTTGGAGAGCATTGCGCGCGGCTGGGCCCGCGGCCGGCGGCTCCTCCTCCCACTCTGCTCCTCCTCCTTTTTCTCCTCCTCCTCCACCTCCTCCTCCGCCACCTCCTCCTCTTCCTCCTCCTCCTCTCCAATTCTCCCGGTGGCTCGGCTCGGCTCGCTGGCTTCGGTGAAACCCCTACTCCAGTCACCGACTCAGCGCCCAGGAGGGTCGCCTTTGGCTGAGGGCACACCCCAGGGAGAGGAAGGGTCCCGGCATCTGGGCCGCCGCGGGCACCTAGCTGTTCCTGGGTGAACCCCGACCACAGCCGTCGCCGCCAGGGGCAGAGTTTGCGCCCCTGCTTTGCGCCCTAGGCGCCGAAACCCGGCGGGCGATGCCCGCGGCGTGAAAGCGCCCACGGCGGGCGCTGACCTCTGCCCTCTTCTCCCGTCCCCCATCCCCGCCCCGATCTCGGTGCTCTGGTGACCCTGGCTTTGGCGCCGCCGCCCAGGCGCCCCGCGATGTAGCTGCCCCCCACGCCTCGGCGGGGAGGCGTCCTGGCCCGCGGGTGCCCGGGGCCCGGAGCCCGGCCTGGGGGCGCAGCCGAGCTCGGGCGGGGCCGGGGCCGTGGTGGCGATGCACTGGGCCCGTTAGCGCCCGGAGCGCCAGGCAGCTGAGGCGGAGGGGCAAGCCCTTCGTCGGAGGAGTCGCGCCCCCCGGCCCCGCCGGTCCCGCCGTGATGCTGTTCCACAGTCTGTCGGGCCCCGAGGTGCACGGGGTCATCGACGAGATGGACCGCAGGGCCAAGAGCGAGGCTCCCGCCATCAGCTCCGCCATCGACCGCGGCGACACCGAGACGGTAGGCGCGCGGCTGTGGAGTTGGGACTGAGAGCTGGGACCCGGCCGGGTCGGTCAGCCCTTCTGCTCCCCGAAGTTTGGGGGAGAGTCCTTCGTGCCGCACGGGACTGAGCGCTTGGGGGAATCTACGGACAGCATGCAAGGCCCGGAGCTCCAGGCTCGGGAGCAACCGGGCAGCTGGGGTGGAGAGGGAAACGAGGTTGAAACCGAAATCTCAGCCCCCCCCCCCCGGGTGGAGGCGAGCGTTTCTCCCGAAGTGGGAGCAAGGTCCCACCCCGCGGCCCGGGCGACTCTCTTCTCACCTCGCCGGGGCGCTCAGGTCTCCCACCGCCTCCTTTCCACACTCGGCTCCTCCGGGCTGCCGGCGTCGCCGCCGCCCGCGCCTCCTGAGAAGGGTGAATCAGCCGGGAGCCCCGGGCTCCAGCCGGCTGAGGTCGCTCCCCGTCTCCTGGCACTCGGGGATCCCTTCCTAGCGCAGTTTCTGAGACTGTAGGCTTCTGGGCCAGCACTTTTCGTTGATTGTGTCCCGGCGCCTCTGGCCGGCCGGACTTGGCCAGACCCAGAGCTGGGAGTTCAGGCTCTGGCCTGGCTCTCACTGGCGGAAGGAGACCGCATTTGGGTTTCTATACCTGGCTCCCGCCTCCCAGTCCCACATAGCCAGTATCTGGCCCCAGACCTCCCCCCACCCCCAGGCCAGACCGGCCGACGCTGCCCAAGTAGCGGGCCCAGAAGTGACCTTTAGAGGCCCAGGAGGTGTGGAGCGTGGCCGAAGCGTCTCTGGTAGTTCGGAGAGTAAGAGCTGCAGCCTAGTGGCCTTTCAGTCTCCAAGCGCCCCCCCTCCCCCTTAAACCTTCTGCGCTCCTCATTTTGGTCAGGGAAGGGTTGGGTTTAAGCCTGCACTTTGAGACTTTGGAGGGTGCCTTTGCACCCCCACTTATATACCAAGACCTAAGAGGGCCCCAGCCTGGTGTGGCAGAAGAACCAGAAGTTGCCCGACTTGCCCAGGCCTAAAACCTTTGGTCCATGGATTCACAGATCATCTGGGATGGGGACCAGGAACTGTTGCCTCTGGAAAGAGGAGGCTGCATAGAAAGTGACTTTTAATGGTCACCATATCCCGTTTCTGGGGCCCCAGTTGGGGAACTCTTTAAGAAACAGTTTGAGGAGTTATCCTGGAGGGATTGAATGGGATTACCAAGGCTCTCTCTGTCCCTTGTCAGAGCCTGAGCCTTTTTTTGGGGGGGGGGAGAAAGGGAAAGGAGGACAGGAAGAGAGAGACCTAAGGCTGGAGAAGAGGATCCTGGGGCTTAGGCCCGTGGCTTCCTAGAGCTGGGATGGCTAAAGGACTTAACCACTACATCCTGGCCTTTTGGGGCAGAGGCCTCTGGCTGCCTGTCTGGTGAGCCTCTTTAGGTGTTCTAGGCTAGCTCAGGCCACTGACTGACCCAGCTGTGGGTGTCAGTTTCTTGGTGTGGAGCAGCCACAGGCTGACACAGGCACGGCGGGTCTCCCGCCTTCCTCCCTCTGCAGACCATGCCTTCCATCAGCAGTGACCGTGCTGCGCTGTGCGCGGGCTGCGGGGGCAAGATCTCCGACCGCTACTACCTGCTGGCGGTGGACAAGCAGTGGCACATGCGCTGCCTTAAGTGCTGCGAATGCAAGCTCAACCTGGAGTCCGAACTCACCTGCTTCAGCAAGGATGGCAGCATTTACTGCAAGGAAGACTACTACAGGTAGCCCCCTATCCAGCGCCACTAGCCTTCAGATCCCCCCTCCTCATCAAGCTGGCCCCCTCCTTTCCCACCAGTCCCCAAAGAGGTTATTGTATTCAGGACCTTTCCCCACCAGCACACCAGGATGAATATCAAGCAGCAATATGGGTAGCTTTTGGAAAGGCTCATCAAGTGGAGGGCACCAGAGAAAAGCAGATATTGTTCCCTTCAGAGCTTAGATAATATGTAAGCTTGGGTGTGTGTGTGGGGGTTCTTGTACCCCTCCCCTTTGGAATGTTCTTGGGTCAACAGGAAAGGATAGACATCCTCTGAACCCCAGGCAAGCCTGGGTTGGGTGTAAAACAAAGTTGGAGGGACAGATGGGGTAGCTGTGTATTTCTGGATCTCTGGGGGGAGATGGGCACAATTAAAGAGCCAGAACTAAAGAATTAAAAGAGTCACTGAGGCTCCACCGTGCCCTCTTTCTCCTCCTCTCTAGGTTAGGGTTAGGGTCTTTTTATACTTTGTTCTGTGTGTCTCTGTGTTTCTTCTTATTTGGGTTAGAGGTTTCCCAGACGCTAGTCTGGAGAATGGGGCCAGAAGTTGAGGAAGGGGTAACTGGGGGTTCTTTACTGCCCTCTTCCAAATGAAAGCTTTTCTAGGACTTGCTCAGACTATTAGATCAAGTAGAAGCTTTGGTAGATGTGAAAAAAAATAAAAGATAGATGCAGGCCTGGGTCTCAAAATCTAGTTCCCTTTCACCAGCCCATTCTCCAAATAAAGGGCAGGCTGTCCATCTTAAGGATCGGATTTTCCCCCAGTGACTGCAGCTGCACCTGGAGGAGGGATGGTGGGGGGGATAGTGAACCATTTGTCCCTACAACGCCCTCCCTCCATGGTCCCTACAGGCGGTTCTCTGTGCAGCGATGCGCCCGCTGCCACTTGGGCATCTCGGCCTCGGAAATGGTGATGCGTGCTCGGGACTTGGTTTATCACCTCAACTGCTTCACGTGCACCACATGTAACAAGATGCTGACCACGGGTGACCACTTCGGCATGAAGGACAGCCTGGTCTACTGCCGCTTGCACTTCGAGGCACTGCTGCAGGGCGAGTACCCCGCGCACTTCAACCATGCCGACGTGGCGGCTGCCGCTGCAGCAGCCGCTGCAGCCAAGAGTGCAGGATTAGGTGCGGCAGGGGCCAACCCACTGGGTCTACCCTACTACAATGGCGTGGGCACTGTGCAAAAGGGGAGGCCGAGGAAGCGCAAGAGTCCAGGCCCTGGGGCGGATCTGGCAGCCTACAATGCTGGTGAGTTCGAGGTGCACCGAGTGCCCCCCGTCGGGTTGGGGGAATATGTATGGTGTGGACAGCATGGAGGGTATCTTAGTGAGCTGGGCATATAGGGGGTACTCTGGCCAGCCAGGCCCTGAGCACCAGATGGCCTGCAGAATGGATTATAGCCCTCTAGGCCAGCCCCTGCATGCTCAAGGGTACATACAGGACAATATGCAAAACCTCCTCTCTGAAAAATAATTTTTTGGAGGCAGTTTTGGGGTTTGGACCTTTTCACCCCGCCTTGCATGACAGAAAGTGCCAGGGTAGAGAAAGGATGGCAGCGTGGACACTGAACAGGCTCTGAGGTGGTGCAGTCAAGGGCCAGAGCTGTGGTGGTGGTGGTAGAGCTAGGCAGGACAGCAAGGGTCCCAAGGGAATGGGCTGGTGGTGGCCGAAGGCACCAATAAGCTTGGCGCACAGCCCGGTGCTGTGAAATGTCCTGGGGGCAGCTGGCTGGGGGAACGCTGGCTCTGGAACCTTTAATGAGCTGGGACTCTTGGTCCTTGTGCAGGGGGGCCAGTCCTTCCACACCACCAGGTCTTCATGGGCTCCTTCTGAGTTCCTGGCGCCTGCCCTGCCGGGGTGAGGGAGGAGACTGGAGCAGGCCTGGCCTGGCCTTGGGGGCAGAGAGGGGGGGGTATATGTGTTCGCAGTGGAGGGTCGGTTCGCATTTCTGGTGTCTTTGAAAACTAGCCCCCCACCCCCCCGTTTCTGCCCTTTCCCGCACCCTCCCGGCTGAAGACAGCAGCGGAGGTTCTGAGGGCCAGCAAATTGAACCGTTAACATCTGCCCGAAGTTTGCAGGTCCCGGAAAGGTTTATGACTCTCCGGGCTTCCGAACTAGAGTTTATTTGCAATTATTTTCTCTCTTTCGTTTGCGACAGCATCAGATTCTGCAGATTTAGTTTTCTTCCTCCTTTTCCTCTTAGTCTAAGGCACAAGTTGGTTTAAAAACAACAACAGACCCAAGACTTTAGAGGGGCTACTGCGGGGAAGAAGTCAGGATTGTTTTGATCTTAAAAAAAAAAAGGAGAGAGATAGCCTGAGTTGGCTGGGGGAGTGGGGCAGGAGTGGGGGTCTACTGGAGTGGGTCTCTTTTCGCTCCAACGAAATTGCTTGTTAAGAGAATTGTGGAGCTGAACTGCAAGGAAATGCGGCCGGCGATCTGGTAAATGGTGAAGAGGCAGAGAGGCTCAGCGATGTACGATTTGCCATTCTCCAAAATTTCCGTCCCTCATCTCCCAACGGCTCGAAAATAAAAGACTAAATCTAGTCCAGGCCCGTGCCTGTTTATCAAGTGGGGTCAGCTTGGATAGGAAGCAGAGCTTAGAGCTTTTTTTTGGGGGGGGGGGAACTCCCTTTCAGGGAATCTGGTGGTTGGGGAGTGGTTTGTTTTCCTGGGCACACAGGTTTATCAGCCTGTTTGGAATTATGCAAAAGGAGAAGGTTTAGATATGTATTTTTGCGGTTTTGTTTTTGTTTTTGTTTTTTTGCCTTTCACCCTTCACCTTCTCCGTGAGACCCGGGGCAGATGGGGCTGGAAACTTGAGTTTCAGGCAAGCTGGCACCTCGCAACCTAGGAGCCCCTTAGTCTACCAGCACAGTTTCTTTTGGGCCCCATCTCTTTCTTTTTCTCGTCTTTCCTTTTTCCCGGTGCCTTTGCGCGCGCGTCTCCGGCCTTGTCCCGGGGCTCCCGGTACTCGAAGGAAGCAACGGCGGGAGGCCGGCGGGCCGTGGCGGTGCGGCTCGCTTATTCGGGGCTCCCGGGACAAAGTTAGAAAAAGAGGGTGACTCCTAGCCCTCGCGGGGGCCGCGGTCAGGCCTCCCTAGGTCCGGCTCCCGCCCCTCCTTCTCCTCCGGACTCCGGCTGGAGAGAATGGCTGCGGAGCGGGCCGTGGGGGCAGCGGGGCTCGGAAAGCCGGGACGCGAACCGCGCGCTGCGGACGCACGGCAGTGTGCAGGGATCGTGCCCGTGCGCGTGTGGGTCCGGGCTTCCGATTGTGAGAACCGCCCCCTCCCCGGGCTTGTTCGTGGGAACTGTCCCGCATCCAGGGGCCAGGCACCCGGCACTTTGCAATGCCGATCTCTCTGGAGGGACGGTCCTGCCAAGGGCGACTGAGCTGGAGGCCGAGTGGGAAGGGGCGCCCCGGTGAGGGGAAGGACAAGGACCGCTCGGGCTGCGGGGAGGGGACCGGTAAGCCCTTCTGGGGCCGTGGGGGGGGGGAGACCCGCACTCCTCCTGGTGCCCCTCTGGTCCGGGAGCTGCTGCCCCAGTTCCGGAGGCCAAACTGAAACCTCCCCCACACCCGAGCGGGGCTGCGGTGGGTCAGGGGTGCCCGGGAGCCCGCCGGCGCCGGCCGGGCCGCGGTCCGGCCACGCACTTCACTCCGGGGGTTTGCGCGCCACGGCTGCAGGAGTCCCGCGCAGACCCGCCGGACGCCCCGGCCTCCCCAGCCCCAGCTTTTTGTGTGTGTGTGCCTAGCTGCGTAATTACTGATTTGATTCCAATCCATTATTTAGACAATTGAACCTACAATCTCGTCTTTAGTAAAATGAGGCGAAGTCAGATTTGATTACAGGTTCAGTCCCAGCGACAAGAGCTCGAAACCCGATGGGTTAATAACAGATCACGAGTAAATTATTCATGATTTTACGAGCTCTTTAGCTCCATTGAATCGGCCTAATTGAGAGGAAAAAAAAAAAGAAGAGAGAAAGCCTGGGTCTTCCCCCTCTCCTCGGCCCCTCGCCCCTCCCCGGATCCGATCTTGGGGAATCTCAACCGAGGGGGGGACCCCCAGGCACTGGGGGCAGGAGTGAGGGGGTCAGGGCGCTGGCCAAACCTGGGCCCCTAGGCCACCTCCTCCACCCCACGCCTTCCGCAACCGAAGCCCCCTGGCCCGGCCAGATGGCCTGGGCCGAGCCACCTTGGGTCGATTCTTCCCTTCCTTCCCTCCTCTCTTCTTTTTGGTTCCTTTACTCCCAGGCCAATAACATCTTTCGCCGGGACCCTGGGATCCAGGTCTATCACCCTGGCCACATATCGCCCCCTCCACCTGTCCTTATTTATTTCGGTTTTTATTACTATCTCCCTGGTTCTCCTGGTCTCCACAGCCCTCTAGCTTTCCTCTTTTTCTGCCACTCCGTTCATTTTTTTCTGTACTTATCCTCTCCCATTTTCGATCTCACTCCTCTCTGTCTTTCTACCTCTGTGTTTCTTTCTTCTCTGCTCTTCCCCCCTCCCTGCTCCGTCCCCTCCTAGCTTCCCCCCCTCTACAGGCCTCACTCAGGGCACATCCCTGGGGCCCACGGGGCGCTGGGGTCCCCACGGAGCTCATTAACAGCAGAGCTGCCCAGGTGGGGGCTGGGTGGAGGGCTGGGCCCTGAGATCCCCTGTGTGGAGACCTGCCCCACCCCTATGGAGCTGGGGACTTAGGGAGGGAGGAGGGTCACCTCCTCAGCTGGCTCAGTACAGCATCCTAGGATGGGATCTGGAGTCTGCTCTGATCCAGTCTAAATCTTACATTCTGGGTGCTCTAGGTGGAACACCGGTTGCGGAAGTGGGGTGGGGGACCTGCCTGTGGTGGAAAGGGACCCTGAGTTAGTGTAGTCCCTAGTTTACAGCTTCACATTTGCAAGACCTTAATCTTGCAAATTTTCTCTACATGGCTGGGTCAACCTGGGCAGGGGAAGAGTGAGGATATTTCTCAGGTAGCCAGCCTACCCTGTTAAAATGCAGGATAGCCACTTAAATTTGAATTTTGGACAAAGAATAAGTGAAAGGTAAATAAAAGTTACATCTCGTGCAGGATTTGAATTTTAAATAAATACTTTTTAGTATATGTGTATATGCTAGGTAATATTTGAACTTCAGATATATGAGTAAGCTTTTCTTTTTAGAGCATAGATGTGTTCTATGTAGTATTTGAACTTTAGCTAAACAAATAAAACTTTAGAATAAATAGGTCCTATTCAATCTTTGGGACACAGAGTAAAAATTAATTTGTTATTTATCCAAATTTTAAATTTAACAGTGTAGCTTGTAGTTTTATTTGCTGAATCTGACACCTCTATTAGAGGCAAATAATATGGCACAAGTTCCCCGCTTTAGGGTGACTGAGCTGGAGCCTTCTTTAGGGCTTTCTCCAAAGCACAATGCGGGGATTCTGTAGGACCCCATCAGCCTGAGAGCCAAGGACCTAGAGTTTCTTCTCTACCCAAGCTCCAGCAAGGCTCCTTCTGGATGGAGACAAGTTCACTAAAGAAGTCTACTTTATCCATCCAGCTTCCTTTTGTAGTTAGGGATAGAAATGGGATTCAAATGTTCAGTTCAATCTAGGTTCAGCGGACCCACTGGTGAGCAAGTGGCTTCATTTCTCTTAACCTTGGGTTCTTCAACTCTTAAAAGGGGAAACATAGTGCTGGCACAATGACTTTTTTAAAGTGAAATATAAGATAGGTGTCTAGAATATGTTAATTTCTCCCTCCAAGATCCTTTCCTTTTTTAGTAAGAACTCTACCACTCTCTGTGAGACAGGCACAGTTCACTTCACTTCACTTCCCAGAGCTTCATTTGTTTTGTTTGTAAAAGTAGGAAACCACCACCTCACGGGGCGAGCAAGCAGGGCAAAGCGGTGACGAATAAACTACAAAATGCAACTTCCAACCTTAGGCCCAAGTGCCTGAAGCCCAGGGGTTACTCAGTACTTTGGGGTGTGAGAACTAGTGGAAATGAAATGAATATGAGGTCCTATGTTAATCAGTGACTCCTAGGTACCAGTGCCAGACCCTGGAGCGGGGAGATGGAGACAGCTGGTTTTTTCCTTGGAGAACGTGGGGAAAACAGGAAGTGTACGCTCAGAGTCTTGAGCTGCTAGGTCCATGGTCAAGTGTCTTCCTTTTCTGAATATCGGTTTCAACATCTGTAGTAAGGAAACATATACCTGGTTCCTGAGATAGTTTTAAGGGTTGAGTGGAAATGGGAAGGGAAGGGGGAAGTCTTTTAGCACATCCAGAATCCAAGAAGCCAAAAACAAGTTGTAGCTGTTATTTCCACAGCTGCTACTTTGATTATTCTTGTAATGCAATGGTTCAGAATGGTTTGGTAGCTGCATTTCCCAGGTCAGCAATCCCGAGCAAGTCATGCTCTTGGTTCTTCCTTTTCTCCATCTATAAATTGGGGATCATATGTCCATTTCAGTGGGGTAAGCACTCAACATGGTCAGAAATGCTTCAGAGTGGGTGGAGAGGATGTGGACTTGGCATTGGCGAGCCGACAGGGTCAGGAAATTTCACCTGCCGCCTCTGCATCCTTCCCCAGCACTGAGCTGCAACGAGAATGATGCGGAGCACCTGGACCGCGACCAGCCCTACCCCAGCAGCCAGAAGACGAAGCGCATGCGCACCTCCTTCAAACATCACCAGCTTCGGACCATGAAGTCTTATTTTGCCATTAACCACAACCCCGACGCCAAGGACTTGAAGCAGCTCGCACAAAAGACCGGCCTCACCAAGCGGGTCCTACAGGTCAGCGGGGTTGGGGTGCCACCACAGCTGGGGTCCGAAGCTCACACCCGCCATGGCCTTGGCAGAACCTTCCATCCTAGGTCTGCCTTCTTCTTTCTCCCTTTCTTCAGCTCCTCTTTGAATTTCAATCTTGAATTTTTCTTTTAACTGCCATCTTCCCTTTCAGTTTCTGGAAAACTTTCTGTGTGGGTCCTCTGTCTTCTCTGTCTCTATACTTGGTTTCTTGCTATAAATAGTTTATAGTGACTATTGGTTAATCAAGTGACTCTCAACTATGTTCACACCAGGTGCCAGCACTTCAAGCCCGCCTGTAATCTAGTTACTCAGGGTACTGAGATCTGAGGACTATGGTTCAAAGCCAGCCCAGGCAGGAAGGTCTGTGAGACTCTTATCTTGAATTAACCAATGAAAAGCCAGAAGTGGAGCTGTGGCTTAGATGATAGAATATCAGCCTTGAATGAAAAAGTTCAGGGACAGTGCCCAGGCCCCGAGTTCAAGCCCCCATGTAGACACACACACACACTCACACACACACACACACACACACATGCATACACACTCACACAAAGTTCGATCATTTCAGATCAATCCAGAGCCCTCCCCTTTTGCTACCATGGGAAGACATCTCTGCAAGGTGGCTTGTAAACACCTGCTCCTTGCTGTCCCTATTACTCTCTCTAGTTGGGTTTCTTTCTGACCTCTATCTCTCTCTTCTTTTATTTTTTTTTCTGCCATCTCTCTAAATCTATTTCCTGCTTTATTTATTTGGTAGTTAGCTGCCTCCCAGACTTCCTAGGAAGCCAGTTTGGTGACAGCGTGGTATGCCACAGAGCCTCTGGGTTGGATTGCCTGGTAGAGTGTGTCTTAGCACCTCAGGGTACTCTTAGTCTGAGTAGAATCACTTTTGTATCTATGAAGGAACTTACTTGATAGACAGGATACAGAACTTTCACCAGAATTCCATAGCCCCAAAGATATCGGGAACTCTAGCCTGAGGGAGGTTTCTTGCTTTTGTATAACCCAAGCTTATGGCACCGGCTTCAGCCAATAATTTTCAAATCTTCTGCTCTTTCTCTTGCTCATTTTGGGGTGCTGTGAAAGCTGCTGAACTCTTTAAGCCTCAGTGTCTCCACATGTGAAATGTGCGCAATGAATGACCTGTGCGGCAGTGTGAGGAGGAGGGGGAGCCACCGGGGTGATGTCAGTGTCTACTGCTCAATGGATGCTAGCTAATAATGACATGAATCACTTCATTAGCTGGAACTAACTAATGTCTATGAATCATCTTCTGGTGGCTAGTCCTCAGTTTCCCCTGTCATACAAAGCAGGGGAAACTTAGTAGCAAATTTAACAAGTTTATTTTTCAAGGCATGTGGCAAGGGTGATAGTGATGTATTTTTTTCCCCTGTGGTACTGGGGTTTATACTCGGGGCCTCATGTTTCCTGGGCAGGAGCCCCATGGGATGAGCCACACTCCATGCAATGTGCATTTTAGGTAAGAAAAACAGAGATGAAATTAACTGACCCGGAGAGCTCAAGGCGGTGAGGTCCATGCCATTCTGACCCACCCTTCAGCTCCATGTTCCAAAGACCAAGTCTGGAAGGTGATGCTGAGAGAGTGACAGTGACAGACCCACTTCAGAGGCTGCACAGTTGACCTAAGAAAGGTCCTGTGAGTCTGTCAGAAAGCAGACCAAACCAAAACTTGTGTGGGGTGACGGCAAGGGCGGGTTGGGATTGTGCCCAAATGCAGATCAGGAGTCAATAGTGCCCTGATCGCCGTAGGACTGCTGGCCTTTGATTGGGGCAAGAGAGTGGAGGGAGGGCCAATGGAATGCCAGTTCACCTCTCTGAACCCACCCCTCACATTGGGGGCTGAGTCTTGGCTGCCCTTAGTACCATTGCCCTGGGTTCTTGGGCAGTCACTGACACAAGGTCTTCAGGGCCTTAGTACCACTGGTCTGTTTCCTTCAGATTTTGCTTCTTAGGTCAGGGACTGTCCTTGGAACCCCTTCAGTCCTGGGCCAGTGTGGCCTGAGGACTTTTCAATGGTTAATGGGATTGTTTGCCTCCCCTCTATCCAGATGCTACGCAGAGTATTGGGAGATGAGGTGGGCTCAGTTGTCAGTGAGTCTGTGAACAGAGACTTGGAGTCAGGCAGAGTGGGTTCAGGGATACCTGGGCTCAGTTGTCTGACTGTGTGTCTTGGAAAAATTAGTTACTTTTCCTGAGCCTTCGCTTGCTTGACTGTAAGAAGGGTACCATGAGAACCCAGATGGGGGAGACTCTCGTTTGTCCTGATTAAAATAAACAGAGTCAGTACCCATGGTTTACTCTTGAGTATCAGGTGAGGAGTTGGTCTCTGTTAGCCTGACTTAGGAACAAGTCAGATTTCCAACCTAGTTCTCTTTTATTCTGTCATCTAACTAAATATCCCTGTAGAAGTCCATCCATTAGCTACAGAGTCCCACATAGCAGTCCTCTCCCTTTGTGAGATCAATTAGGAAGGCTAATGGGGGAATCTAGAGGGGAGATCACCCATCCACTTCCTGTGTCCAGCAGTATGATCTCATTGAGGACTGGATGATTTCTGTTTGCCCACACTCACATTTTGTTTTGTAAGTAACAGAGCTGGACTCAGTACTGTCTGACCAATGCATGTAGGTAAGGCTTTCCCCGCTGAGCCAACCCAGCACCAATGTCTCTGAGTGTAAGCATCACTTAGGACCTGTTATGTTCCAGGAGAGTCGGAAGGCAACACTGTTCTCTCCTTCCTTTCCAGGCCTCAACTCTTCTGCACACATCCTTAATGAGATCTAACAGCATAGCTTCTCACCATTATGCAGTAATTTGAAAAGCATCTTTCTAGCCACCTTACCTTAATATTTTCCTGCCTGTTTTACAGATGAGATGCTTAAGACCTGCTAAGATGAAGTGATTTGTTCCAGATTACAGGCATTGGTTGGGTGGGGCTTGCTCACAGTTTCCCTGACTGCTGGTGGGATATCTGGAGAACCGGAGTGGGAACAGTTGGAAGGCAGGGCAGATGGTAAAATGGCTTTGGAAGCTAATAGACTGGTTAAATGCTCTTTGAGTTAGTTATCAGCAGTGGGCTTTAGGTCCTTTGAATCTTTTCTCTCCATATCTGATTCCTTATCTGCAAAAAGGAAGGAATCTGGCAACGAATGGGACAGCTCCAGCATGGTGCTTGCTGGGACTCGTGTTAGGTGTCCTTTTGTAAAATTCATTCCCATGGGCATAGTGGTACATGCTTGTAATCTCAGCACTTGGGAGTCAGGGGTAGGAGGACTGTGAAGTTGAAGCTAGCCAGCCTGAGCTAAATAGTGAGACTGGAAATGTAGTTCATTAATAGATCACTGGTCTAGCCGGCCATTCCTAGCACCACAAAAACAATTCCTCATTACTGATTTTAGACCTTGGATGCCTCCTAGAGGTCTCTCCCCTAAATTCACAGCCCATCTCAACTCCTCAGAGAGAGTTTACCTGAGTCAAGGCTGAGATTGAGCTGGGTTCCCAGATGTAGAGGATATGTGCTTCTAGGCTATCAGTGAATCTAATGCGTGGCATCCCTGTTGGAATTTGGAGTCAGCGCACCTGAGGTTCAAATTTAGCTCTCCCACTTAATGGTCAGTGGCCTCATCTGTAAAATGGGGATGACAGTAATACCTTACCAAGAGTCTGTAAGGAGTGCATGAAATGACATAATCTACAGAGTATCTATTAGGGACAAGGCGCACAGTCCTCTCACATTCATACAGCAGGGTTCTCCGATTCCAAAGTCCTTTCCCATGACACAGTGTGGCGGGGTGGTGACTTGTCCCCTTGCATCTAGTTGTAGAATACAATGGTATAGGTGAGGGTACAGTAAGGAGCTGGTCACAGGTACAAAGCAAAAACAGATAATCTCTCACTGATCATATAAAAAGTGATCACCTTCGTCGTCCTCAGCAGTATGGCAACTATGACACTCACATGCTTGTCATTGGGTAAGGAGACACACTGGTCCCTGGACAGAGGTCTGTTGTAACATTGAAGCCTTGCAAGTATGTAGAGACTGAACCTTTTCACACAGATGACTCTCATCCTTTTTTTTTTTTGTCTGTCGTGGGGCTTGAACTCTGGGCCTGGGCGCTGTCCCTCAGCTCTTCAGCGAGCTTGAGCCACAGTGCCACTTCCAGTTTTCTAGTGGTTTATTGGAGATAAGAGTCTCTGTCATTCATACCATTCACACCTAAAGACTGAATTTTATGTTTTAAAAATGAACTTCTCTCGCTACACAGAAGTAACAAAAATGGTAGTCAGTTTTGTATTTAGAAATGTATTGGTAGCAGGGATGTTTTCATAATTTTCAGAGATTATGCATTCTTCATGAATACTTTTGTATTGCTGCTTGCAAATATGCATTTCCAAACTTGACATATAGGTGTGAACAGTGTGTACCAGTTTGAAAAAAAAAAGAGTCTCACAGAATTTCCTGCCTGGGCTGGCTTTGAACCAAGATCCTCAGATCTCAGCCTCCTGAGTAGCTAGGATTACAGGTGTGAGCTACCAGCGCCCGGCTACTCTCATCCTTTTCTCTTCCTTGCTGGGGAGAGTATAGGAAGGCAGAATATCCACAATGGGGACAGGGTGATAAACTGATTGATTCGATGGGTGAAAAGTCTCCATAGGGACACTTTGAAAGGAAATGCATTTTAATCAACAGTTTGAAAACATTCTTCACATTACTAGTTGGTTCTCACTGACGGATGAGAATGCTGGAGCTGAGTTGAGTCACTTATGCTACAAATCTACTGATCTGCCTACTGATCTGCCTCAAGGCTGGGCAGGAGAATTCTCAGTCACCATGGAGAATCCTGTGGTGACCAGGACAGTGAACATGACCCTGGTAGAACACAAAGCCCAAAAGGAGTGTCACAAGGGGCTGTTTGCACAAGTGATCAGATCAACTACTTCATTTTTTCTGTGCATTTGGAATA